ATCCCCCTCTTCATAATGCTGCTGCTGCTCTTCAGCACCACCTGCCAGCAACGTGTTATCCACCCCTGCGGGCCGCAGCCGCTGCAGCAGCTCCGCCGCGCTCCGCCTGCAGCAGCAGTAGCAGCAGCAGCAGCGAGCGAAGTAGCGAGGACTCGTCTGCTGCACTTGCTGCACCTTTTGACTTGCTGCTGCTGCTGCTGTTGCTGCCTCCCACCGTCTGCTGCTGCGGCTGTCCATCTTTTGCTGCTGCTGCTGCTGCGCCTCATCTGCCGCTCCTGCTACTGCTTCCCACCCGCTGCTGCTGCTGCTGCTGCTGCTGCAGGCAGAGCAAAGCGGCGCTGCTGCAGCGGCTGCGACCCGCAGGCGTGGATTACACTTTGCTGCCAGCTTGTGCTGAAGAGCTGCAGCAGCATTTTGAAAAGGTCCAGGCCCTTTTTCTGGAACTGCACTCCGCCAACATCGTAAACCCTAAACCCTAAACCCTAAACCCTAACCCCCGAACCCGGGCTGCTGTCGAGCGGCGACGCGAATCACAGGCCTTCACGCAAACCCTAAACCCTCGCCCAAACGCTAAACCCTTATTCAAACCCTAAGCCCTCGCCCATTTCCTAAACCCTCGCCCAAATCCTAAACCGTCGCCGAAATACTAAACCCTCGTCCAAACCCTAAACACCTGCAACCACAGGAAGCCCGTTGCCCATCCGTGCCCGCTAGGGTTTAGGGTTTAGGGTCTAGGGTTTAGGGTTTGCGCGCAGCGCAGCATCACTGAGACGATGCAGCGAGCAGCAGAAAACGCCGTCGGTTTGCTGCGGCAAAATCTGCAGCAGCAGCAAATGGAGTTGCTGAAGCCGCTGCACGAATTCAAGGGTTTGCTGCTGGACTGGCAGCAAGCTGGTAAACCCTAAACCCTAAACCCTAGAGCGGCTTGCGGGGTACTGCAGGCAGCCCCTGGAAGACCCTAAACCCTCGCTGCCCTCGCTGTAAACCCTAATTCGACGCAGCAGACCCAGAACTGCAGCACAAGCCCAAACCCTAAACCCTAACCCTCAGCTGCCAACGTACAGCAGCCGAAACCTAAACCCTAACCTTTATTTGCAAACCCTCAATGTCTCCACACAGAATCCCTTTCGAAGGATCCCTTCAATGCCAAACCCTAAACCCTAAACCCTAATTTCACCCTTTAGGCCTCGCACATCCGGGTCACCCCCGCAGAGCCCTCGAGGGTTTAGGGTTTCGGGTGCCGCGCCCAGGGCCTAGGGTTTAGGGTTTAGGGTTTAGGGTTTAGGGTTTGCGCGCAGCGTGGACGCTGTTTGAAAGCGAAGTGGCTGCGCTGCGAGAGGCTGTAGACCTCCACGCAGAACTTTCTGCAGAAGTGGCGAAGAGGTTAAGTGAAGTCGAGGGTTTAGGGTTGAAAATGTGGAGCAGCAAGTGCAAGGAAACTGCGCAGGTTAGGGTTTAGGGTTTAGGGTTTAGGGTTTAGGGTTTAGGGTTTAGGGTTTAGGGCTGGGGATGTAGGGCTTGGGGCGTGGGAAGGCGTAGGACGGGTGGGGCTAGAGGTTAAGTGAAGTCGAGGGTTTAGGGTTGAAAATGTGGAGCAGCAAGTGCAAGGAAACTGCGCAGGTTAGGGTTTAGGGTTTAGGGTTTAGGGTTTAGGGTTTAGGGTTTAGGGTTTAGGGCTGGGGATGTAGGGCTTGGGGCGTGGGAAGGCGTAGGACGGGTGGGGCTAGAGGTTAAGTGAAGTCGAGGGTTTAGGGTTGAAAATGTGGAGCAGCAAGTGCAAGGAAACTGCGCAGGTTAGGGTTTAGGGTTTAGGGTTTAGGGTTTAGGGTTTAGGGTTTAGGGTTTAGGGCTGGGGATGTAGGGCTTGGGGCGTGGGAAGGCGTAGGACGGGTGGGGCTAGAGGTTAAGTGAAGTCGAGGGTTTAGGGTTGAAAATGTGGAGCAGCAAGTGCAAGGAAACTGCGCAGGTTAGGGTTTAGGGTTTAGGGTTTAGGGTTTAGGGTTTAGGGTTTAGGGTTTAGGGCTGGGGATGTAGGGCTTGGGGCG